ACCATGCAATGGGCTAACTGAACGGGGCTTATACAATGTCGTGGAGCTTTTTTCTTCTTACCCAAATTTCTTAATTTCTCCTCCTTGACAGTCGTAAAAGGTCACGTGATTCTGACAATTTGTCCAAATGTGCAAGAACTATATACATAGATGTGAATAAAGTCGGAATCTGTTGAGCACGTTACCTATTAGGAATTGAGGTCAACACATAAAAAAACTAAATTTCATGTTCAAATTCATAGACGCGCGAAGATAAACATACAAGAAACACATGGAAATGGATGCATTGTTTCACATGAAAATATATAGTATGGGTCCAAAAGTATTTCTCATTTCGAAAACAAATATGTTCAACTAACCACACAACATGCCCACAACAGGTTTTCCCATAAATTTATACTACTCACTTCATTTTAACCAAAATAAAAAAATGAAAATGAAAATGAAAATGAAAATAGCTGCAATGCCCAAAAACAAATAAATAGGCAACTAATCTCAGAAACCCCAAGTGCAGAAACAAAAATTGCAGAAAATATTAAACAAGAACACAAGAAATTTTCGACCTAAGCCTCAGAGGTTCCTTGATCACTTCTAACACCTAATCCCTTGTTCAATATCTACAAAAATAGATAATGCTCATTTGTACTATTACGGCCAAAATAGCAACCAAGGTTACAAAATATTCACAATATACAAATATCAAGCCGCATAAGACTTATCTTTTGAAAAAAATCTAAAATATTCGAGTTAGTGGTCACCAAGAACTCATCAAATCATGCATAACCCTTACAGAGATTATGACATGGGAATACCACATCCTCCATTGATTTCACTAAGAATCAAGCCAAAAATCAAAAAAGGGAGTAGAAGATTTGAGTATGTTGAATTAGATTTTCGATAGAGAATGAAGAACCCTAATTAAATGGTCATTTTCTCTCAAAACCAAAAGTAAGTAATAGAAGTCAAATGAAAAGTCTTAAGCCTTAAAAGAATCCAGAAGCCAAATCAAATGTTAGCCATCAAGCACATGTCATCGTTTGGTCAAATGCCTCCACTAAAAATGTCGCCTTTCACATATACGTTTTTACCAATTTAGGGAGCACACACTACATGCGTACACCTAACTCAACAAATGGCAACAACAACAATATACACTTTACTCTGGAGAATGACGCTCTCTTCATGCAGTAATACATAATGTGGAGAGGGGCAGGTCGAACTAATAAGTAGCTATATTCCGGTGAAAAAAATGGTCTCTTTGATAGGTATCGATCGGTGTAAAATTTTAGCTATATCATTTTATATTAACCTCTGGGTTTGGGTAAAAAAAATTTGGGACTTATTTAGAAATTAGTTGATCTAATGCAAGACGGGCGGACCGACCATGACCCGTGAAAACCGGGACCGCGGGCCGACCTGTAACCCGTGCGGGCAGTTCACGGGCCA